CTTGACCTCTGCATGAAGTGTAGTGCAAGCTTTAAGCCAATCCTCTGCAGAATAAGCTGTAGAACTAGAGGAGACTGATCCTAAGTCGTCAGGGGTGGTGTGGCGGAACCTATCTAGTATAACGTTGGGATCTATTGGAGAGATACTAGTAGCTGTGAAGGCCTTTAATATAAGGTCTTCTTTGAACGTGTTTACTCAGGCAGGCCAGAACAGGGCATAGAAGTCACCCTTAGACAGTGGCGCAAGGCCTTGAGATGCCTGGAGGTAGTTGTTGAGTTCAGAGGCGTAGTTGGAGGAGAGAGGTTTGAAGCAGACTACGTCCAGTGGCTGCAGAGTCTGGGTACTGTGAGGTGGTAGCACTGCCAGTATAATCCGTTTCTAGTGACAGTATTTAATAAAGCTCTGCGTAAGGTGACTCCCATAGCCATCTACAATTTGAAGCTGATGCTCTGCCGGTATCATGATGATGCTGGCGTTCAAGATACGATGATCACAATCGTATAGGCTTAGATGTCGGCCCGGGGTCGATGTTTGGTGCTATGCAACTGCACATGTCAGTTATAATTCCGGAGATATCGTTGCTGGATGTCGCAAGATGCAACGTGGTACGGAGTATGTTCAAGTCACCCTTGCGTAGCGCTGTCGAACTCCGCCTCCAAGGCCACCCGCACACCCCTGCTGCGCTTTCCGCGCCCCTCCCGTGAGCATCCAAGAATGCAAAGATCAACCGAAAGATGTCCATTAAAGCATCACCGTATCTATCTTTAGGTTAGAATTGTGGGTAACGGTCATGCGAATGTTTGAGGCTGTCTCAATCTCCTCATCGTAACAGTCTCTGCCACGAGGCCGTTGGACGCCTAACCCAGCATTGTTGCCTGACATCATATATCAATGACTAAGGTAGCGTCAATGAATTGTATCCGCTCAAATTTGACCCTCGTCAAACAACCAAGACCATGATCAATCTCACCGTCTTCCAGAAGTCCACCCCTCATGCTCTCCGTGCCATATCTCTCGCCTCCTTCATCCCCGCGTTCCCCATTTTCCTCATCGCCGGCATTGGCTTGCAACAATTGAATCCCGCCATCGGCCTTGTACCGCTCTTCTTCTCATCCCTCTACTCAGCCATCCTGCTCTCCAACGAGAAGAAATGCGGATGCCAGGCCGGCGGCCTCACGGGCACACCGTTCCACTTCATTCTCGACTTTCTGATTGGCACGGGGCTACTTACGTGCTTGATTCTGGCATGGGCGCTCATGGGATATTACCGGGAGAGTGGGGTTATTTTGGGAACGTATGGGACGAACTTTCTAATCATTAACTTGTGTGGAAGCTGAGTAGTCTCTGATCGTTGATCAAGTGTGAAGAAAGTGATCAAGTTCCTTGTTCTATCTACAGTGCTGAATGAGCAGAATATATACACCAATACTCATCCAGCTATACCCTAATTGGAGCCCTAATCACGGCTCCAAGCTGTACCCGATTCCGCTCACCATGGCGTGATAGATCGCCAGTGTCTGATCGGTCCAATATCCAGATGCGGATCACGTGATATGCACCCTCACCTCGATCCTTGCTGCGACAACTTGTAAGTCAACAACCTTCGTGAGCCAGGACGAGGAAATAGACGATGCTGATATCGATAGCTTGGTGCACTTGTACTTTGTGCTGTGTCAGCTTAAGGAGGCTCTTGATGGTGCCCCCGTGTTCCCTTCGAGCTGTCCGCAGTGTCGCAGCGGCACTCTCTCGTTCTCAATTGGCGGGTTCGAATTCGGGAAGAGCTGTTCCTTTGGCACGGGAGCAATCACTGGGTTCAAGAATGGGTACACGCCGCTCCTGAATGGAGATGGCGAACCGAGGGTCTATTCCGATGAGCATACGAATGAAGGGGAGAGTATGGTGTAAAATTGGTAAAGTGTTCCTGCTGGAATTGCATAGAGGTCCTTTCTCGGAGTTGGTTGCACTATAATGCTCTGTTCTCATTGTGAATAAATGCTCCGGAATGTATCAGCACACATTGCTGGCCGCAACTTGCGCGAGCTGCTCCAATGCCCCAGAAGTCCCGGATTTTAGGTTATCACCGATTGGTGCCAACACGCATCTCGACTAGTGGCATGTCAGTCTACCTTCAGGTAGTGCAAGCAGCAACAACCTCAGGTATTCGAGCTACGTATAACCCTGAAACTATACTTAACGCCTGTCGTCGCTCAAGAACCACTCGAACTGCGTCGTCAGCATATCTTCAAAACAGGTACTGCTCGCACCACAAATGGCAGAAAGCCCTCCCCTCATTTGTCCCCTGTGGTCTCCTTGAAACAGCACAAAATGGATTCCTACGGCGCAGCACTTTTGACGATCTTTCATAGCGCCGAGTTCTAATTTGAGACCCTCATGTGATACTGGCCGTCCTCAGACAGCCAATCCGCACGTGAATTCAGCCGGACTTCGGATGTTGAACATCTGGACCTTGAATGGCCAGACGTTTGATAGCCAGGTGTTTCGCGAACACACGTGAGCGCGGAAATTGGTGGTGGCTCAACGTATTGTGTCCGTGGCAGATGACGCTGGTTGGGGGCCGGAATGGCTGAACGGGCGTTCACTCAGCTGTGCTGCGCCTCTCGTTCTCCAGCAACAGCCATCTCGCTCTCAAACACGGCAATCACCGACTAGACGAATGGCGAGAGTGATCTCTGCCGCGAGGAGGCGAGCATAGCCCTGTGTTCGGTAATCTTGGAACAGCGCTCGACCGCGAATAATGGTGTAAGGTGATGGAGGGTTGCTGAGGTAGAGTTGGTAGTGCAATTGCACACGTTTGCGCATCCGCTTTCCGGGATCGCGCGCTGTGGAGGACTTGCGCGGCAGCGGATGCTGACGGTACGCGTCAGGTTATTGCATTTGCAGTGCAGTTCTCAGCGAGTGAGTGTGGCTGCGGGCGCGCCCGTGTTCCACCATTCATAATGCTTTTTGCACACATCGTTCACAGGAAGCAGGCCATTAAGGAACGGCCAGAATGCAGCCAGAGTGGGCCACCGGTGAGGCTGGCGGCCCTCTTAGTGTGTGCGCGCGCAACAGCGTGCAGATGGACCTGTGGAAGAGAGTCGGTGAGGATGGAGAGTGGGATCCACAGGTGCGTTGACATCCTTGCAGCTATCGCTGCTAGCCCCAGAGGCGGGATTAACGGCGTAGCCACGGGGATGTTTTCCCTGAATTGACAGGTTGGCAAGTCTTGAAGCTGTTGGTACGATTCTGGATGCTTAGGGGGTTTGAGATGCAGTGTTGGTGCTCCACTGCTGCCGCTGCCGCTGTCAACATTGAGGTGGTGCGGGACCCAGGGCCGGTAGGGGCGTGGCGAAGCTGTGGGTGGACTCTCGCTCGACACATGTGCAATTGCACTGCAATTTGGCACATTCACGCTCTAGTGAAGTGCATCACGAAAACAGGAAAGAGGATTGAGTAAAGTTGTATAGTCTTCCGCTTCAGAACGCCTCCTGTCCTCCTCGCCTCACTCCCATTGATGCGCGCCGAGGTACCTCCATCAGTCGTTCACCACGCGTTTCCACGCATATCTCGTCTTTGCCAACTCAACACATCAACTCTTTTGAGCAAGGATGTGCAAACTCGATCAACAAACTCCTACTGTTTTGCCCTGGTCATGCAGACATACCTATTGGGCATCGTGAGGCTTCAAGACTCAAGAGTGGATTCCGGTGCTTAGAATTCTGCCGGCAACGGTATCCTGGGCTGTCAAGCGACGTGTCCACCTTCATATCATCCATAGGGAAACGATCTGTGTTAACAGCACGGAGAATAGGCTGCGGACAGTGTGAGTGGCCCGCTAAAGGACCTGCATACCTGAGGTTTGATGGTTGATGTTGGTGAAGGGAGGCGCGCGGCGGCCAAGCTGTGAGGTTCGGCACTGCTGGACCCTGACGTGTGCCCCGCCTTCGATATCACGCGACGGGACATGCAGTCAGCTTGTGCCCTACGCATCCTTTGCTGTCCTTGGCATCAAGTTGTACAAGGAGCGCAGCAATTCCATCGCTTTCTCGCAGCGGCCAGGGCTTGGTTATCAAGGCGTAGGGTTACGGGACGGCCCATGATGAGCTGGGAGGGTGTGCACGTTTAGGGCGCTGACGCTCGTGTTGGAAGGCGCGAGCCGGCTGACCAAGGATCTGTCTGGCTCAATCAGGACAAATGTATGTATGGCACATGAGCGTCGCTTCGGTCTAGTCTAGTGTTGCACCGCAGAAACAAGAGCTGGATTGGAGTCAGAGGGTGTGCGACTGTTCCAGGGTAGCACCACATCCAGAATTGCCGGATCTCGAGTCCTGTCTTGCAAATTACTTACACAGTCTGTCTGGATTTGCGAATAGTGAGTTTGCAAGTCTCGCGGCATGATGTTCAATTTGGTGTTTTGGACCCATCTGTCAGTGTGCTATTATTCCAAGCGTAACAACGATCACTGCTGACGGATCACAGAGTCACGAATCAAGAATTGCATCATGGCACAGTGATGTAAAGTGCTAGTCTTCAAATTCAGAAGTATGTTCGTAATCCTCCCCTAGACTAGATCGCCTTCTTGCCTTGTTGCCTTCTTACATCATCCTTCGTTATCCAATCCTCCCCTCAACACCTCAAAGGTGGAGTGTACCATGTGCGCGCAATGCCTTTGTTATCCGTTTTCAGGGTAAACTATGTTCTTGCGCCAAACCACGTGTTCCAAATAGCAGCAAAGCTTATCATGAACGCAAGGCAGAATTATAATCGCATTGTGCATGTGCAGTGGTCGTTGCGGATTTGTGCGGAGCTTGTAGCGGGCGTTGCTGTGCAGATCACCGTTGCCGTAGTAGGTGTTCGTGTGTCGTCGGCGTACCAAACGTGCGTCAGGGTTCAGCTGTAGCGTGTGTCATACGTTCATGTGATCGTTCAGCGGTAGTAGCCAGACAGGCGGTGCTCGCGCAGGTCACGAGCGGAGGGCTCGCGAACTTCGACATTGTACTTTGCGCTGCGTCGCTTTCTCGCCAGATCCTCGTCATACAGCGAGCCACGATGAGAGCTGAAGTTATTAATCTCGACCTTGTCTGGCCAGTCAACAACCTCGCCGGAGCGCGGTCGAGAGGACTTGGTCTTTGGCTTCTCGTGCTCGACCTTTACCGACTTCTGTCGGACAGGAAGGGTTGTGGGTGTGCGAGGAGCAACGTGGTAGCTTCGATCCATGGAGACAAATGGGTGGCGTGACCTGTGACGGAAGCTGCGCTCGATGGCCCTCAGAAGGCCGCTGACTTCTACATGACCGGCAGGGATCTCGATTTGGACGATCTTGTTGTCCTCTTCCTTCATGGAAAAAGTCTTCCCCTCCTTGGTATAGATGTAGGAGGCTACTTCTTGGGCTAGGCGATGTCCATGTTCGCAAAGCTGCTGATGCTTGCGATGGACCTCGTAGGGATCATGGCAGTAAGCACACTTGCGAGCGTGCATCTCGAAATTGTACAGTGCCCAGCTCTCAGTGTTATTTACTGGGCGCGAGAAAGACTCGACAGGATCATTCATGAATCCAACAGATCGCCTCTTCTCCGAAGAGACGGTCTTGGGGTGGATGACGGCAGGCATGGTGTGTGTGTGTCGTGAGACTGAAGGCATCGTGGTGGCGTTCGAGTTCTTCAGAATGGAACGTAGCCGGGGAGCCGTTGTGACGTTGATGCTGAGAGGAGACAGAGAGGCGTTGATGGAAGTCACTCTCAGAAAGAGCGTGACTGAGTTGCTTGTTGGTGTGTGGAGGTCCAGAGCCTGGAATTGGATGTCAAACTGATAGTGAGGGTTGGTCTGGAAGATCCATGGTGTGGGAGGGATCAATCCAATATATGTTTATCGAGTCTTGAGTCCGCAGCTGGGCGTGGTGTGGATGGCAGCCTGAGCTAAGGAAGCAGCCATAAGGCGGCAGGGGTCCGTTGACAAGGGCGCGCGCTCATCGGCAGAGCTAAGTAAGTGGGTCTGCTAGCGAGGGCGGTCTGCTTCTCTACCCATGACGACGATGTTTCCAGAGAGCCAAGAGGATTTTGCATGGTCGGAGGTCATAAGGCTTTTCAACGGCTGCCGCCAGAGTGCACTATTGTTGGCAGCGGAGATGGTAAAGTACGACTTCATGAAACAAGGCGAACTGGTGGATTGCGCCAGCAGCCGCCCGGTTTGACTCTTGAGCGCGATGCGCAAACATGTTCGCGGTTTGCGCATAAGCACGCTCGTTGCGCAACCAGAGACGTCAGTCGCCATGAGAAGCATACCGCGATTCGACAGTCTGTCCCAAGTGGACAAGCCGTTCACGCATGTTGATAAGTGTTGGCGCGTTTGCTGCCTTGTCCGTCCCGCAGATTGGAAGGCATCAGCCACAGGAGCTACTTCCCTCCGAGCCTAGTGCCAGCCGACTCCCCACCTTTCACATCACACACGCGTGCACGTTTGCGCAGCCTCTCTCCGTCTCACCGCACCGCACTGCCACACCCGTGCAAGCATCTTGCATCTCGGAGGGCTCGATTGCGCAAGTCTGCATATGTGAAGCCAGTGTAAAGCACGAACCCGTTGCAGGATTGCACTGCAAAGTGCACTTGTTGCCCAAGCCTCAGCGCAGCATGCCCCACTATCACTTCTCCCCATATATTGACTGTTACCCTGCGACCTGCGCCCTTTTGAACACTTCGCGACGCGAACGTGACTAAATTGTAGGTCTCTTGAAGACTCATCGACTGTTATTCGGGCCTAGGCCTGCTCCTGAGGCCGCTCGGCCATGCCTGCAGGCGCCGTGCAGATGGTCGCTTGACGCACCAAATGCAGTGATGCTACTCTCGTCTGACCGGAAAATGACTTGATATGATTCGTCAATTGGCAGCATTCCGGTAAAGAGTTACAAGTCACCCTCGTCGAGCTGAATCGCGGCCGCTGTTACTCCGTAGGGCTCCGTGTACGGCGATGACAGAGCAGGATCACCCTGATTCAGCCTTGAGGGCAATCTGAAACAAGATCACAAAGATCATTGGATTTGTTGACTTCCGTGAATGACATGTGCGCTCGGTGTGTCAATGTTCATACCTTTCAAGATCCAAGTATGAATCCAGTTCTCACTGATCGGCCCGCCCCGCGCGTTACACCAAGATTGACGCTCTTCAACGGAAACTAGGCACATCCTATCACATGACTCTTTTGCCGTGACTCGGCCGAAGCACTTCGTGCCTTCTAGCGCGATTCCGCAGACGTCATCAGGGCTGTGAAGCTGCGAACTACGGATCACCGGAATCTAACACCTTTGCCTCCATGCGGCTAGAGAGACCGTTGCGCTGTCCGCCCACTTTTGACCCCGCTAACCCATGACTTTATTGTGCCGAGCAGACTTGGAGAACCTAAGTCTGACGACTTTCACCTCCGTCTCTTCCATCTCCACGGCTGCCAAGTTTTGGCAGAAAAGAGGTACCTTACTGGACAAGACAATCAGGCAAATTGCGCCAGATATTCGCGCAATGAAATGTAGCCACCACGACGCGTTCGATGTCTCAGTTGCCTTTGTGTCAAGGCAAGTGCCCGGTTCGATGCCACGTTACCGCAGTGTAACGTTATCAACATTCGAAAGCCACGTAACTCAGATGTCATGACATGCGGTCTACTACACTCATCGACCGGTGTTGGAAGGGTATCGGCGTCTAAGGCTTGAATACGTTGCTGGTTGATTGCAAACACCGCCACAATAGATCGATGGGATCATGGACGGCTGCTGCGTAGGCTCAAGCAATATATGGGGAGGCTATTGCTGTGAACTATCAGTAACCCCTCCCAACTTCTCGCTAAAGCTGGAGTATTTACCACGCTGAACACCGACCATTGAGCGATCATGAACAGGTGACTTTCAACGTCCGCATCGAGTGACTGAGCTTGGAAGATACGGCTGACTACGACCTCACCGGACTCTGACGTGTTGTCCCTGGCACAGGCAGTCCGCATAGCAGCTGGAGATGAATGATGGCACGCCCTTGCAAACTCATGGGCGAAACAATGCCGCTCTATACGTTGCAAACATCGGAGGCAAGGTGCCAAGCAAAATTCAAAACAGCTGCCCGAGTCTTTGAACGCTCACAACCCCATCTGTATCGTCTTTAAGTGATCCGCATGCGTTATGCATCGAAGTCTTGCCTTTTCGGCAGGTCACTGCCTTTATCGAAGCATGGGTTTACTCGACTGGCCAAACAGCGGCCTGCCCTCAGCTCACATGCTGACAGACGCGTAGCGCACTCTCACGCTACCATCAGCTGCACCCCACAATCTACCGTCTGTCAAAACGCTTGATTCATCAATGTCGGTCAAGAAGTTCTAGCATTCGTTTTGCTTTTGCAAGAAGCGACCCTAGTCTGCAATAGGCGATCGGAAACCTGCATTTGCTTTCCTCAGATCTGGCGCTTGGGTCGCGCTTGCATTGTAGGCTAACGAATAGCTTCACGCAATGTTCTCCTACAGACTCCACTCGATATTTATTGTCATCATCAGATCCTACAAATTCGCAAACTGCATCTCGTTATCCTGTCTTTACCGCACATTGTCTGAGACACATGACCGCGCGTTCTGCGCTTTGGTCAGCCATTAACCCCTTTCCTCGCTAGCGCGTAATCCGTGTGCTGGCTTCACCGCAACTTTACGAATCTTATTTTGCGACCTGCAGAGCACAAACTTCCTTTTAAGCTCCAGTCCTCCCATTCAATCGCACTCAAACTCGACACTTCCAATCCGCAAGAGCAAGAAATACAAGACAGAAAGAGATAGGAAATGCCGCCCCGAAGTGTATGCCTGAATGTATTCACCACGAGTCTTGGCGAGGCCGGAGCGGCGGTGAGGGAGGGACGAGAAGCCAACCCACATGAACTCACCTTTGGGAGAAGGGATTCTGCGCAGAGCCTGCCCGATGATGGTACGCACATACTCTGGACTCCTGTGTTGCAATTTGGAGGCCCTTCGTCGTTTTGTCGCAGCGACTGATTTGAAACGCAGACACTGCTCGCCGCTCGTCCTCAGGGTCGATTGCCCCTTCTTCAGCCTCCACATCGCCACCACCAGCGTTCAACCGCGCAGACTTCTTCACTTCTCTGCGTCCCGCAGCTTCTACCCAGAGCCTTAACTCTGCATTTGCTTTCGGTGCTTCCAAACGTGAGTTATGCACCTCTCCTGCAGGAACCCGATCCATTCCCCGTTCGGGCACTAGCGTGATGGAGTTGCAAGGCAACCCACCCAAGCACCTGGAGCCTGCCACGATGGAATGCATCAGCCTTGCGAACTTTTTAGACCATGCTGATAACTTGTTGCAGCTTGCTCGACTTGCTCAGGCCAGACTGCGAGGCTCCGCTGCTCGCGCTGCAAGAACGCGTACTACTGCGACAAGGCCTGCCAAAAATCTTCCTGGAAAGCACACCGGCAAGTCTGCGAGCCCGGCTCGCAGATGCTGGGTTACTCTACGCCGGCGACGCCCAACCTTTCCAACCCAACCAGTCCTCCCAACGCCTAATGTCTGTCCATATATTCCCAAACCGGCGTTTCGCATGCTGTTGTACAAATGAAAACGGTCCGAAGAGCATGCGCAGTTTTCACGGACCGCATAGAATGACGATGGATGAGCGGTGAAGATGAGCACGGGCTTTCACAACAACTTGCATAGCATGATGTGGCACTTTTGCATCCAAGCGTTTCTACATGGTGTTCTGGAGTTTTACTAGATCCATCAAGCATTCAATTGCTAAGACGAATGAACCTTACGACCTTACCCTATCTACTCGTCCCTTGCATCCGTGTCTTGTGTCAACATCTATGACACTGAATATATACAACAAGGTCCAATCGCACTTAGCACTTGTGACGAAGTGGTAGATCCCTGGAACGAGTATCAAACGCCTGGCGGTGCCTGAAGCGGATCACGTGACATTAGAGAGGTAACCGTCTTCGGACATCAATTCATTTAGACCTTGCTCCATGACATCTCATCAGAGGCAGTTGTCAAAACGATCACAACTCATCCTTGCCGCCATTCCATCCATCCCCTACACCCCTCATCCACTGCACACCCACAAGCTCCAAACCCCACTTCTCCACAAAATCCTTCGCCCCGAAACTCCTCCGGTCAACAAACTCCTCACCTCCGACATCACTCTTCTCAACACCGAAACCCTGCGGCTCCTTAAACAGCAAGAACAAGTAGCGATGCGGCCCGCTCTCATCTTTCGGCCCGGGCGCAAGGTACTGCGTAATCGTCTTTCCACCCTTCACATCACCTGATCCAGAGTTGGATGGGATGTTCGTAACGACCCAGTGGCGCCAGTACGCGAATTTTGGGTCATCTGGGGTCGGCGCGTCGGGGTCGATGAGCAAGAGTGTGAAGGATTGCGTGCTTGCTGAGTCTGAGGCGGCGGAGAAGGTCACGCTCGGAGTGTCTTTGACGTCGCTGACGCGGACTAAAGAGCCATTTGAGGGGGTCTTTGAGGGGAAGGAGACTTTGAGATCGTAGCTGGGGGTGAAGCTCGCAGGGATGATAGTGGAGGGGAGGAGCGAGACAGACTTCAAGCCGTCGATGAGGATTGTGGTGGCCATCTTGTGGGCGTGATGATAATTGATCGTGTAGATGAGGGCCAAATCCTGGAATACGTGGTGTTCAAGTACTTGAGACGTTCGGAGTGTTTTGTTGCGTGTATATATCTCTATGCTGCTGATTGGTGGATAATCTGACTGCTGAGGTCTTGGAGACCCATCTTTGCTTGGCTTGGTCCATATATTTGATGTTCATTGCTCTACATGGTTCTACTGAGACACATCTGTTTTACAGGATGTATACAATTGTCCCCACCTAATGGCAGGCTTGTCCTGTTGTCAAATTTCTCATACTCTGGGAAACTACCTCATTTCTCTACGTGAAGTGACGAACCTGCTTGAAAAGATGCACTTCCCTGAAGACCCTGCCATACGTACTATTTCTCGCATTTCCTGACTTGGCAGCTTCCGGGATTTACGGTGGCAGGACCTTCAGACCGTCAATATCGAACAACTTCTAGATCTTCTCCGCCCGTTTGAATGCAATGAATGCCTGCTGCAGTACATTTTCAACAAAACGAATCTGGGAATTCATCCTTTCTGGGAAATTGCGTGGTCAAAATGCATGACTGCTGTCTAAATCTTGCATAGGAGGAAGATATTTTCACTTTCTCTTGTACATGTTCTCTTTGTATCGCAAATCCGAATGGATGCGAGAAAGACTGTCAATAAGTGACGAGTTGTCAGTATGTGCTATCTTCTATCCAGAAAATTGAAATGGGAAGATATGGAGACGGTGCAATGTGTCATTGCGCACGCACTACCTATTATTATAAGTACAACACAGACTACCGTCACCACTGCAAACATTCTGTCTGTACATATAGCCATTTTCCGAATTTCGATTCCGCTTCGGTATCCGGCCTCCCTCATCAGACTCACGGCCACGCTTTTGTCCTGACTCGACTATCACGATGAGGCTGGAAATTGTGCGAACATGGACGATCGGGTGCTCTTGATCCTTTTTCGTGTCTGCCTGCTGTCACGGCCAGTACGTTCCGAGCCATTTCATCTTTCTCAAAATTGCTTGCACACTCCCCAACCTCGAGGTGGGGGTCCTGTTTCTTTTCAAAGTCGCACTCGGTAGAGCTAGGTGGCGGTATCTTACGCCTGCTTACTGCATTACAGTCGGCAGCTTCCTTTTGAAGCTCTCTCAATATTCGATGGGTTGAGCGCCATTTTCAGTATCAGACAAGTCTGGACTCTCATCTTCAGGAGATTCAGATGCACAGTCAAAGGAAGCGTACGCCGTGTCGCGCTTGTGACCAGGTCTTGATGTAGCTACCGTATCTTATTCACGGCGGCACCTTTGATTTGCAGTGTGCATACGACGATTCAACTTTTGAGGCCCGAGTGTCCATTTTTCACGAGGGAAGTAGTCCCATGGACCTTTAGAGCGCTCTTTGGCGCCGTGCAGGGTTGCTTTGAACCTTTTAAGCTCGGTATTGAAACAGTCCCGATACTGCCGATGCGCCTCATAAACAGTTACTGCGTCATCTTTCGGCTCCTTCAAGATTTCCCGCTCAGTGTCGGGAAGCGATGGCGCTTCTAGCTCATGCAATTCTGCAATTTGGTGCCGGCCCGGCCCAGCCGGCCTGAGGCAACTTCTGCAGATCCCAGAGCCTGATGCCGCCGCTGATACTCGATCTCAGAGCGCATACTTTGGAAGTAGATTCTAGGGTCATCAGGCTGCCTGGGATCATTGGTTTCTGTCCAGACACGGCCGAGTAACTTGCCTACGCCTGCCAAAGCGTTCTGCCATACGTCAAGTGCTTCGACTGTATCATCTTCTTAGGCCTTCATATTCTTCCTGTAAAGTTTCGGCTTGACCTGCGCACACTGTGCATTCTTAGCTAGCTCGTCGAGTTTATACATCTGCTGCAGTACTGGGGCGCCGGAGTGCTCGATCTCCTTCTTCAATTCGAAAAGTATTCCGCTGAAGCTATTTACCCAACAGTATCGATAATCTTGAGTCGATACGGATGTCAATTTGCTTCCATGATGCGCTTGCGTGTTCTATGCATCCTTTGTGTCTGATGCAATCCACGCCTTGTTATAGCTAAGAGTCACCATCTCCCGGCGCGACTGGAACTTCTATCAGCGGCGGGCTCCCCGTCATATCTGCCGGGATGCGCTAGAAACTGGGCTGACGCGGGTATATGACAACGGTGGCGCCTACGCGTACATGCTGGAGCTACCTGCCTGTGACCGTCAGGAACGTCGAAATGTCGACAGTGAGAATCTTGGTGGCCACATGAGCTCTGGTCGACCAGGGTCAGAGCCTCGATGAGACTCCGTGAATCCCGCGAGTACTGGTTCTCGGCGTCGGCACTGGGGCAATCCCGAGGATTGACCATCCTACATGCTATATGAAGATGAGCCTCAACCTGAAAGAGGTGACAATGTCTGTAACAAGATTGCTCGTGAAGATCGGCATCATTTCCATACATGGACAGCACGGTTCTGAACGACAAATCTTCGATGGAGATAATCACGAAGAATTCGCGGTCAGCGATTTGATCTGGAGTCATGCTCTGGAGTATCGTGCTGACCAGTCACCCAAAAATGGAGAAGTCTTCGAATGGCCCAGACGGTTACACCTGGTGGCAGCGTTGCCAACGGAACGTATACGGCTACGGTAATGGTTAATCGCCGTAACCTGAAACCTACCTGGCATGTGTGGCATACGGACAGTAAGCGTAGATAGCCCTAATTGGCGTAGTACTGCAGTATTGCTGTGCATGTGATAAAACTAAAAGGCAGGAATAGTTTAAAAGTGTTTAGGGTGTGATTTGAACATGTAAAAGAACAAAGTAAATTTTTTGTTACTGCTGTCAAGTTAGGCATTTGTACAAAAGATGTTGCGGCAAACGTAGCCGCTGTATATCGATGGAAAACTGCGCTGAGTTGCTTGCTAGCTAGGAGGCGACCATATATACATGCCCTGAGACGTGCTAGTCAAAGGTAGTCAACGGAGGTGACGATTGAGGCCTGTTGGATTAACTTGCACCACAACAAAAGAGCTATAAGACTCTATTTCTAGCTTCACAACCCTAATAATTATAATTTGAAATAAACATCAAATTTTGGCATAGTACTGCCGTACTACGCCTCAATTTAAAGCTATTCTTGTACGGCTAAGGCTCAATATAATTACCGCTGCTTACTGTTGCCTACCACAGTATACCATAGCCGTGGATTCCAATACTACGTCCAGTTGGCAACGCTGGTGGGTACTATCACCCCATCAACTGCATATCACACACCGCTGCGCTTTGGAAACGATCGCGGAACCAGAGACTGACTTCAACCACATCCGCGTACGCTCAACGCAATTCTGAATGCATTGTTAACAACGACGCCCCGGCGACCAGTCACCATGAAGATCTATATCTCGACCGGAACAGTGAACCCAGGCGATACATTTATGAGGTGGTATACTTCCACCTCCAGAGTCGCGTCTCCCGTCGACCTCTAGTCCACTTCAAGCACGCTGATAGACTTGAGGAAGCTCCAGGCGTACTTTCATTTGGACGCGATCTACGCTCAAGAAGATAAACTTTGCTCGTGGCAAGCTACAGTTCGATCGTAGCTCTGTCCCTCGCCAGATCAATTTGCAGGCGTTGGAGGTTGGAGATGCACGCGAACGAGACTGCCGTATTCGCCATGAGCCGTGCTTGAACGCCATCGACCACGCACCGGCATTTCTGCGTTGAGTTTCTCCTCCAGATCTACTGAGCTTTCTCTAGGACTTTCTCAAATTGGCTCGCCAGCTCGAGAGCACATCTTCCAGCCGCGAAGAACATAGCCTACAAACGCAAGTAAACGGGCTTCCGAGTGGGTCCGAGCAGCAGCACGCTGCTACTCATCACCCATCGGCCAACGCAGTCATCATCCACCGTTACAATTCCACTGCTGGAGTTCAACTCGATCTCAAAAACACAGACTCTGGTGAGTTCCACATTCATTTTCATGTAGACAAGCTGAAAAACGTCTCTGGTCTTTCTGGAATGACAGCCGGGGAGCTGCTCCGCACGCAGCCTGCTTCTTATGGAAGTACAACCATTTCGCCGATGTCCGCTCATCCTGTGAAGATTGTTGTTACTGTTCTACCATGATATCTACATATGTTCTCCACTCTTAAAATCACTCAACGATCGTGTTCTCCATTTTTCTAAGATTCCATCGTGCATAACGTAACGTGCACGGCCTCGTAGTGCACACCGGCGCGTACATAATGCACACCCCACCAACATTGACGCCTACTTTGCACCCCCCATAACTCAACACCACGATGCCGCTAGAAGAAGCCCTTGCAGAGCTAGATACTTTAGGACCTGACGATACACTTTCGTACTAAGTTCTTGCCAAAAAACATGGTTGTTGCCGCTCAACTTTAACGCGCCGCTACTGCAGCGTATGCGCGTTGCGTGAAGACAAGGCAAAAGACCAGCTAGTTCTCCACCCACGCGATGAGGTAGAGATTGTACAGTACGTTAAATCGCTTACAGAGAGACACCTTATGCCTACAAGAAAGGTTCTTGTGAGAATAATTACGCCTCTGTGCAGGTGGCCGCCAAGTGATTGATAGATTTCTTGCTTCCTTCATTGTTACCCCAACGAACTCCTCACCGCCTGGTCAGCGCCTATGGAGAAGCAGCGTCACGACGCTGCTTCATATAATTCCTTTCGCCTCTATTTTGATCTCCTGCACAGTACAATAAAGCAGCATGCAATAGAGGTGGAGAACACGTACAATATAGATGAGAAGGGCTTCATGATTGGAGTGATTAGAAAGAGTGTTAGAATTTTTGACAAGAAGCTCTTTGGACTCTAGAGATTCAAGCTAGCATCTTATGATAGCAATAGGAAGTGGGTAACAGTAGTAGGAGCAGTAGGAGCTAATAGTTTTGCGTTGCCGCCTGCAGTTATTTTCCCTTTATCTTCCCTTACTGTGCAACACAGCTGGTTGAAGGAATTTAAAGCTAAGAAAGACTGCGTGCACTTCAGTACCTCACTAAATAGCTAGACAAATAATGCCCTTAGACTTGCCTGGCTTAAGCAGGTGTTTGATCGCTATACTAGAGTTAGAGCGCGAGGGAAGTACTAACTCTTGATCCTTGATGGTCACAGTAGCCACGTTACGAAGGCTTTTATTGAGTACGCTCATGCCAACAAGATTCTAGTACTTCTATTCCCTCCACATGCTACTCACGCGCTTCAGCCGCTTGATGTAGCGTGCTTTAGGTCGTTGGCGCATCACTACTCTGAAGAGCTCCTTCATCGCGGCCACACTACTGAGGGGTGGGCGCCTGTAGCTCAGAGCGACTTCTTCCCACTCTTCTGGGCAGCGTGGAAGAAGACCTTCACTAAAGACCTCATAAAAGAGGCCTTTAGGTGCACTGGGATCCACCCACCGGATGCCGATATGAATACCAACCAACCAACCCACCGGATGCCGACGTTGTCCTTGAGAGTTTCAAAAATACAACACCAAAGTCGCCTAGCACGACCCCAGAGCCGACTGGGCTTAAGCCTGCACCAGAACCACCTAGTTGGCGCAAGACTTAAAGGCTACTTAAGCGTGCAAGAGAAGAGGATAAGTCTAGTGCTAATGAGGCACTTGATTAAGCGCTTTACTAACTCCACGTGCAATTAGAGGTTGTTTAACACAGAGTTACAGGCCTAGAAGAGGCTCTAAGTATAAACAAGAAGAAGAAGAGGAAGTAAAAGGTACTACCTTTGCAACCTGTTAATAGTAATAATAGTAGTAGTGTGGTCTTGTAGAGTCCTTTACGCATTAAGCGCGCAAAGCAAGAACTTTAGGCAAAAGAGGACCTTAAGCGCGCTGCAGAGGCAGCAAAAGCTACTAAGAAGGAGCTTTAACACTAGAAGAAGATTATTTAAGCAAAGGAGAAGGAGGATAAGCGTGTTAAGCAAGAGAAGAAGAAGGTATTAACAGCTAAGGCACAGGCTGCGAAGCGCGCTCAAACTGAGGCTTATAAAGAAGAGGCTTAGTGCAAGAGCAATATAGAAAAAAGTACTTAATTGCCTAAATAGGCTAAGAGTAAGGTCTTACAGAAATCTTAGTTAAAAGTAACAAAGAATTGTGGTAGTGGTGCTGCGCAAAGGCAGCGTGTTGCCCATAAGGCGCCCTCACCACCACCACCTACTGAGGCATCTACTGGCCGTACCACGCGTCTTCCTAGAAAACTATGGTAGCCAAAAGTTTCGCAATAGTCTATAGTTATAGTAATCTACTAACTTATCTCGCAATACCAGCATTGTGATGTTGCTCAATAACCTCACTTATTTGGGGGTGCAAAAGGTGGTGGGGTGTGCATTACGCGCCGGTGTGCACTACGAGGCCGTGCACGCTACCTCACGGGCTCGTGGATCACCCGGGCTCGTGGATCACTTTTGCCAAGCCCCCACCAAACTCTACCTTCCTACGTGATGCCTCAACAACAACGCTAGATAGAACCTTCTAATAAACATTAGATACAGACTAGACTGGCGGATGGGTACCATGTACCTAGGGTAGGGTATAGGTAGGGTATAGGTCGCACGGACGTAGGTATAGGTAGGGGAGGGTCGCACGGACCATAGGTATAGGTAGGGTAGGGTTACACGGACCATAGGTAGGGTAGGGTAGCACGTGACTGGGTATAGGTATAGGTAGGGTAGCACGTGCTAGGTATAGGTTTGGTTTGGGTATATTACTAACCTAGTTTGTATACAACTAACCCTAGGTTGTACTAGTAGATTCTTTCGCATAC